GTTATGGCCCATAGCGCCTTTACATAATTTATTTTTTTAATAATAAAATTATATTTTTTATGTGGTGATGTAGCCTATAGCAACTTTAGAAAAATCACTCCAGCCTATAACGACTTTGTTTGGCTAAATTTTAGCCAATCGTAGTTACCAAAAAAAAAAATCCACGTGTCAATGGTGTCACTATGGCCCATAGCGACACCATAGTAAAATGTCCCAAAGGTGTATATAGTTTCAAAACAGTCCCATTTACATAAATAGTTTGGGAAAGTGCCCTAAATTGGTCAATTAGCCTAACATTAAATACAACATAGTTGCAAATTTTTTTACACTATTACACACCACCAGAGTCACCAAACTATTTAACTTAAGTACAGACTATCAAAGTCACCAAAATGTGTACATCACATATGTTAACACAATACTATTGTACTAAAAAAATATCATACGAAATATTTCATGGCACATGGTTATGCCACCAAAAAAAGGATAATCATACACTTTAAATAAACCAAAATTAGTTCAAGGTTTTTGTGACCTTTGCCTTGTCCTTTCTATTGATATTTGTATTAACTCTTACAACCCTCTCTATTGTTAGATTTCCCTATAATTGACCATATGTCTTCATAGTTGCATTCACTACTGATACACATATCAACAACTATCTTGAATGGTTTTGGCTTATTAATTGCATATAAAGTAGATGTACAACATTTAATATTATGTTGAACATTTGTACTTGATATGGCTCCATCAACAACATTGGCATAAATATTGACATTATTTTGCAAGATTGTCATAGATTGTTGTAATTGTTGCATTCTCTGAAAAGAAAAGAAAAAAGAAGGACATATGGTATAAACTATGGTAAAGCATAAAGTAAATAAAAATCAAAGGACATTTGTCGGGGCATTATCATTGATGTTAACTCTTGAGTTAGCTCTCGCTAATTTTTCCTATAACTCTTTTAGTTTGTTGACTTGATTGACTAACTCATGCAAGTTATTGACTTAACTTATTCATAATTTCATTGGGACTTAATTCAACAAACTCACATTGTGGTTGTACATTTCATCCCTATTTTTATTCATTTCCTCCTTCTTCTACCAATGGTGCTGCAACATTTATAAGTAGGGTAACTTTCTCTACCTTACTTTGAAATTAAAGAAAAATTAAACAAGAGGATGGACATGGGTTTATATACACACACTTGTCTCCATTGATTGAGAGGCCTTTTAGGTGATATCCAAAAGTAAAATCGTGAGAGCTTGAGCCCAAAGCGGACAATATCTCACCAATGTGGAGATATGTGTATATGTGTGGTACCCCCCTCGGTGCACAACAAGTGGTATCAGAGGTCTGAGGTGACCGACTCGACGAGTATGATGGATGGTAGGTGGATCCAAGTTTGGGATCCCTTGTGTCAAAAGTCTTCTTAATGGTGGGTTCATGTGGAAGAGAGGCTTCCCAGTAACATGGAGGGTTAGGAGGCATGTCCCGCTGTCACGAGGGAGCTCATGATCGAGCGGTGGTGCAAGCACTCTAAGCGTGAGTGAGCTCTGTGGGGCCACCATCGGATAATACTCGTAGTTTTCACTGCAAGGGAAGGGGTAAAAACCATGGTCCTTTATTTAAGGGGAGGATTGTTGGGATGCAAGAAAAGTCTCACATTGTTCAAATAAGAGGATGAACATGAGTTTATATACACATACTTGTCTCCATTGATTGAGAGACCTTTTGGGTGATGTCCAAAAGTAAAACTGTGAGGGCTTGAGTCCAAAGCGGACAATATCTCACCAATGTAGAGACATGTGTATATGTGTGTGATAACCCCCTGGTGCTCAACATGGATGATTGGTATCGATTGGTTTACATGTTTGCTATCAATGCATGGTGTTTTCTCTTGTAATGAATGAATGATAATGGATAATAAAGGAGTTTGAATTGATATAATGGAATTTGGGTAATGGAGTTTTGAGATTTTACGGAGTATATTTTTAAATTAAAACTTTTAAAGATTCTTTGCATGGGTAACCTCATTCAATGAATCACATATATATTACTAAAAATTCATACAAGGTCTTAATGACAACCTTTGTAGCATGTTTTACAAAAATTAATATTTTAATCAAAAAGCCTTTAGAAGTACTTTATTAACCACCAACACCGAAGAAGATGATACCTCTACTTAATCCCATGTATAGTTGTCGGTGCTTCAAGTAGTAGGGTTTTATGTGATGAAACAAAACCCACATATACAATTTTAAATGAAGACAACATGTCCTTTTGTAGATTGTTCCAATATCATCTTAATTTATTATTGGACTTGAACATTGCATGTCTAAAAGTATCAATTTAATTAATCTATCTTAATTAAATAATCTTTTGTCAAATAACAAAATCAAATATTTTTTAATTAATTATTAAATTAAGTCATATTTGATATAATCAATTATTTAAAATATTAATAAACTTTGTATGTGATCCTATAAATTCTTATTTAATATACAATAATATTAAATGTTATATCTAATATAATATTAAACTTATAAATAGTAATTGAAATCTAGCAATGCATCACTATTACTCAAGCAATGAGAAAGTTAGGTGATTTGGTTTCAACCTTGAGCAACCAAAATATTGGAGAAGACAATGCCTTTTTTTTTTCTATATTGATTGAACATGAGACATAAAAATATCATTCTTATTAAGTTCGATATATCATATATTTCCTGATATTCGAGTAGACGTCCTATTATAAACAAACACAATATGATCCTAATGGCTCATTTTTGTGTGATCATGCATATTCACTTTTCGATCTATCAAGATACCAAAGAGATTACTTTTATTATATAAGAAGGATGAATTAATCTTGTGTTTACCACTCATATCCCTCAACATAATTCATTATTGAGTTAACACTTATCTTTACAAATATCTTGTTACAAATATCGTTTAATAGTTTTAAATCTTACAAATCCCACATATAGGAATCATTCAATCAAAGAAAGAAGATGAAGTATCATATCTACAAAAAAAAATTATTGGTTTAATATCAGTTCAATTGGTTAATTTCTTTTAAATTAAATAAATAAAGGAAATTAAGTTTTTTTTTAATTTTGTTTTCAAAATATGAAACAAGATAAAAAGACACGAAAAAATATTAAGTAATTCAATAGATTAAGAATGATTAAGTATTAGCTATAATTCCCTCCATTAAGATCAAAAGAAGAAATTTAACAAGTCTTTTAAGAAAAATAATAATAAAATCATATTTTGAACACGAGAAATTAGAACATGACTGAATGTCCTAATTTAAAGAAAAAAAAATTAAAAACATTCATGATCACTTAAAATAATTTAGACAAAAATACGAATTACGATTATAAGAATAATGGTAGTTAATATAAAAAGAAGAAAAAAAAAAAACTACCATCTATCCTACAACAAATACATACCAAGCATCACTTGTTGTTTTTTAATACATACAAAACAATTTTTATTTTAAATACACCTATTATGAGGATGACATGTCTTAAACAACATGCTTTAGGTGATTGTCACGTGACTCTCTTGAGTTAAAGGCTTGTGTGGCGCAAGCATTAAATTACCATTGATTAGAATCACTCATCAATCATCATCCAACCTTGGTGACCTATTACAGACTTAACCACATTTATAAGGATTCCAACCCCCAACCCATACCCGTCAAATCATTATTTACATAGTAATAAATAAATAAGTTAAACACATTCGTCAATATGCATATTTTTTTATTTCACTCCGAAATGATGTGAAAGAATAATCTTTCTTATTTTAACCTCAATGACGGATTAGAAATTTAGAATCCACTTTGTTTATTTAATCCAAATTATTGTTCCATAAACGTACCGTTAATTTAAAATAAATAAAAAATATTAAAAAGAGTAGGGCATTATTATTTAAACCCTCGTAAAGCGAGAGAGGATGAGTGTTGAGAACGGCAAAAGCCTTTCTTTCATTCACCGCTCTGTTCCTCCGTTCTCACGTGCGTCATCCTATCACCGTCAGTATGTATCACTACCATTACTTTTATTATTATTAATGCTGAAAATATTTTATTTAATAAAAATATTTAAAATTATCGACATTTATTATATTAGTTAATATTATATTTAATATTCAAATTTTAAAATCTTGAATTAAATTTATGTTATAAAAATTGATTAATTTTTAATATTATTTTTTATTATTTAAAAATTTAAAGATAAAATTATTTTAAAAATGGATTATTACTTTTATATATATTATAGATTATTATTATTATAAAATAAAAATTAATTACACTTCTATCATTTTCATTGTGCAAATTCGATTTTCTACTTTTTATGATTTTCATTCTCTGTTTTGATTATAGAAATGTGATCTATTTGTTAATGAGATATCTAAAATAATATTTAACAAAAAATAATGATAACATTAATAGAGTATGATGTTACCATTTCTGTTAAGTACTAAATATTGAATTAATAGATGAATTAAAATTCTACGATTAAAATAATGGGATTAAATTCAAAAAGTATGAAAATTAAATTCCCAAAAAATGAGACAAATAAAAAATAAAAATAAAATAAACAAAAGCTTTGAATCTATTTTAATAATTTTAAATCATTTTCTAATCCAAGTGTTTAATAATTTTTTATTTTATTTCCATTTAATTGTTGATTTTTCTTAAAGGATATTTTATATATTTGTGTTTTAAGATAACATAATTTTTTCAATTAGTATATCTTTATTTTATTTATAATTAACATATATTTATAATAACACTGGAATAAAAATAAAACAGAAAACTTCAAAATTATTATATGGGAATAAATGTATACAGTATACTACATATTTTAACATAAATTCACAAAGACATGCGACACAACAGGGTTCGGAAAGCGACAAAAACTGAGAAACCCGGTTGTCAGAAATATCTGCAACACACACAGGAGCAACGTTGTTCGATTATTACCGGAAATAGCCGGTTTTTCTCGAGCCCCAAGGTGTATCATGAGCACCTTCTCTTTGGAGTTTCAAGAAAAAGAAAGAGACTGGAGAAGCCACAGTTACTTGTAGAAAACACTGCACACAGAGAGAGAAAAGAAAAGAAAGACAAATAAATAAATAAAACACTGTGTTGCTTGTGTGCGAGTGAGTGTGTGAGTTTGTGTGCAGTGGTTTCAGATGCGTGTGGAGACCAAACCCCATTCCACACCCCAATTTCTCAAATCAGTTCACTTCACGTATCTCTGTGACAAACTGCGCCACTTTCGCTGCTGCATAAGATCATGATAATTATTATATCCTTTCCTTTCACAGTCACCATCACTTCCACTATTCTTCTCTGCAACTTCCGTCACCTCTTCTGCTCCACTCTCTTTCTCTCTTCTCCTCCTTCATCATCAACTATAACCCTTCTCTTTTTAACTCTCTTCTCTTCACTATGGCTGAGGGCTTCGAGCATTACCATGTCCCACAACAAAGTAGAAGGGACAAGCTGAGAGTTTTTCCTCAGAGCCAACCTGGTTTCGTTGAATCCTCCACTACCCTTCACCCCACTTGTCCAACTTTGCCCTCTCTCTACGACCCTTCACTTATTCCCTCTGATTTGCTAGCTTGTGGCACCCCACAAGGCCACGCTACAAAGGAAGAAGGTTCCAATTTGATGATGGGGTTTGCGGAAGGAGGGGTTGTGAATGGTGACGCAATTCAGTTTATTAACAGTGGTAGCAGCAACAACCCTTTTCTCTACCACCTTCAGAACCTTAGGGAGTTTGGTGATAGCTACAATGATGGGAGTGAGATGATGGTGTTTAAGCCCGAGCCTTTGGCTTTGTCTTTGTCTTCTCACAGTAGCAACACTCACCACCCTTTGGAACTTAATCTTCAGCGATATGGGGGTGTTGTTTATGGCGATAAGGGTGGTGGTGGTGGTGGTTGTGTAGTTCCGGGTTTGGTTGGCGGGAACTGTGAGGTTTTGAGGAATTCAGTTCCACTTGGACCCTTCACGGGTTATGCTTCGATATTGAAGGGATCGAGGTTCTTGAAGCCTGCACATCAATTATTGGAAGAGTTATGTGATGTTGGGGTTCGTGGGGTTTACGCTACCGAGAAGATTATTGCTCCTGATGCATCGTTGATGGAACCTACTCATGAGGGTTTAAGTGCTAGTGGAATTGGTGGGGATGATCCACTCGGAGAATATGGGAATGAGGGCAAGAAGAAGTGTAGATTATTAACCATGCTTGACGAGGTATGTTTATTTTTATTTATTTATTTATTTATGATTTTGGATCTGAGGTATTGTTAATTGAAGATTTTTTTGCTTCATGAAATGGAGTTTCATGTTTGTTGATGTAATTACTATTATTTTTTTTTTGTTTGTGTGTTTCGTTCTGCTAAGTGTTAAGGTTGTTACTGTTTTAGATAAATTTTGTGGAGAGAAATAAATGGATTCTTGGCTAAAGTTTGCCTGGGTTTTTTTGGCCTTAAAAAGTTGAGTCCTAAGTTATCATAAATGTATACTTAATGATTGCATTAAGGGGTTTGGTGGTCACTTCTGTACTAGCATTCGATCTTGTGGATTGCATGAAGGAATCATGTTTATTTATGGTGTGATGTTTTTGTGATTTGTATATGGCTGAGCTTTCATTTATATTCTATTTGCTTTAAGATGCTTGTGTTTCGTGGGATAGATGGCCTCGGTGAATTTGGTTATCTTTTTGGAAAAGTTATTGGGAGGGAATATATGCATGAAGATAGGGGAGTGTAAAGTGCCTGACATGTATAGAAAGATTTTGTAGCAAGGGACTATGTCATCCATATTGGTTTGGGTAATTAATGTGCAATAAAGTGATTGAAGGAATCCATTGGAAAAGATTTATACTCCGAAAAAGTGTGTATTGATATGATCGTGTTATTCTAAGATTTAAGAAACTTACATATGTCAAGGTTTTTTTTAACCTTTATCTACGATTGGCTTTAGGTTGAGATTGGGATTAAAGTAATTCTATGATTGTGTGATTGGGATTTTACTCTAACAATTCTATTAGAATTCCTGATGCGATAATAGTTGCATGATATGTCGTATCGTAGAATATAATGTTTCACTTTATACTTGACAATTATTAATTGCAAATTGATTCTACGAATAAACTGATCTTCGCACATGAAACTGTACTATTCTACAAATAGACATATAGATGTATAAAATGATTTTAAGCCTGTACATGGCTTGTGATGTTTAATTAAAATTAGGATGCAAGTCTTATATATTTTGTAATGAATATTAAAATTTATAATTTTACATTAAATATGAATTAACTTTTTCAAGTATGATGAAACTACAGTGTAAAATTATTTAGATATCATTGTGCCACCACAAATATGTCTCTTGTAAACGATCATAATACCTGTAAGGCATATAGACGTACTATATGGGAGCACAGTGGGCTTATATTGTCAAATGTAGGGTATCAACGTACACATGCATTGTGTCCCGATCAGTTGCTTCAAAGAATAAATATAGCCTTGAAAAGTGAAAAAGGTGATGAATAATAAAATGTTATATATCTACATGTGGCATTAGAGCATGTGACTTGTCATCTTAATTATAAGATTGGTAGTGTTGTACCATTTGGTAGTTGTCATGTTCGTGTAGGCTTTATGGTTTTTCTCTGGTTGGAACCTATTCTTCTTAAGCAGCCATTTTAGCAGAGTTCAATATTTTTTTTTTTGGAGGAAATACACGGCATAGACATGTTTTGTAGCCCCTTAAATTGATAGCTATTTATTGAAGTTGATATCAAAAAATAGAATAATCCATGCAAGCATTTAAACTCAATATGGAAGTGATCGTGGAATATAAGCAATACCTATTTGGCCAGGCCAACTACTCAATGATAGAATAAGTAATCCATACAAGTTGTCTGATGTGTATAAATCGATATATATATTGGTTTTAATCTTTTGTTGGTAGAAAAGTTGGTCAAAAGACATGATTGAAAGGTGAAAAGAATCGAAGGGAAATGGAATAAGAATATTCACTAGTTCAAATATTGTATTTTCCTTATAAGCTACTAGGAAAATGTTTAATGAACAACACTACTTGGTCCCTACATTTCTTACACCGCAGTTCTTGGACAGGAATTGGTTCCTGCTTGTGGAAGACCCACATATCTGTGGGTCATTGCCCTTATGCACTAATACAATTATAGGATTATTTGGATAAATATTTCCAAAAGCACTTATAAAGAGAAGAAAATAAGAAAAAATGGATTTAAGTCTTTTCATAAGCAATTAGTTTATGCACTAATTTGTAGAAGCTCTTTCATATTAGTTTATACATAGACTGATTTTAGTGTATGAAAAGCTAATTTCATTTTCCTTTCTATTTTCTTCTCCTATAGGTGCTTCTGGAACAGTTTATCAAACATGCCTATAATTATAATTTTACTATATGTTTTCGAAGTGGAAGAAATTGTTTACAATAAGATCAAGATATTACTTTAATCCCAATTTCATTTCAATAATATATAATTATCTTAAAGATTTCTTCCAAATTGATATGGTCAAAACTCTAGTTGTTAGACGCAGTTTTATTTTTGGGCCATTTGACATGCTGAACTGTATCTTGTTTGATATTTTTTTTTCTAGTTTCATGTTATAAATCTTTGCATGGGCAGAATAGTTTACCCTTATAAGGATTAATACTCCAAGCATTACAATTTACCAGCAAGCTCGAACTTCTGAATTTTTAATTTCCTAATATATCATAAAACAAAGTTCACAATTTAATTTTTACTGGACTTCTTCACATCTCCCTATTGTACAAAATGCTTCGAACTTCAACCTATGATTATGGCTTCTGAAATTCAAATTTATTGGATTCAAGGTCTATAAATGTGTGACTTTCTGTCTAAGTTGTTTTATTTGCTTGCTATTTTGATATTCTTTAATTTGTTTGTATTGAGCCTTGTGACGTGTAGATAAGATGTTATTATTAGATGCTATGATGAATAATGATTTCTGTTATGTTGTGTGGAGTTTCACATGTGACTATTACAAATTATGTGCTCCATCTCTATCTTAAGAATGTATAGGTTTATGGGAATGTAACCAACCATGGGTACCAGATTGCTTTTGCCTGATAAAAATAAATGCAATCTTAGCTCTAATTTTTTATTGGATGGTGCATTCCATTGCTTTGTTCTTCTCTACTTTTAGATGGATGATCTGAAATATGAATATATAGAACCAAATTAGAAGTGAAAAGTTGTAGAATTGTATGATTAATTACAAAGCTTCATGTCTTTCTTTTAGTTATAATATGATTGTTAAATTAAATAGTCCCTGCTGCTACTAGCTTTTATTTTAATTGGAATCTGGTGATCTAGTCTTACCTACATAATCACCGAAAATTTCAACATATGATACTAATTATATGAATTCTTCTTTGTGAATCACAAACAGGTTTGCAGGAGGTACAGGCAGTATTACCAACAGATGCATGCAGTAATAACATCATTTGAGTATGTTGCTGGCCTTGGTAATGCAGCCCCATATGCAAGTTTGGCTATAAATGCCATGTCCAAACATTTTAGATGCTTGAAGAATGCTATTACTGACCAGCTGCAGTTCATCAACAAGGCTCCTTTTCAGATAAGCAACAGGAAGGATGAATCTCCAAGGTTTCACAACAGCGATAGGGGCACTTACAGCCAAAGGCCAGGGTTTCTTGAGCACCAACAACCAGTTTGGCGACCTCAACGAGGACTCCCCGAGCGTGCCGTTAGTGTTCTCAGGGCCTGGTTGTTTGAACACTTTCTTCACCCGTAAGCTCTATTTAAAATTTATTAACGCATGTCGAGTAATGACTTGTCCTTGATATAAACTTTAAGGACATGTTGGTTTTTCATTTTTTTTTCCTTTCTCACCTCAACAACCTCTACATGAATGTTTACATGTATGGAACCCCTAACCCTTTCATGAGACGGAGTTTATGTTACTCAACTTTGGTTCTCTTGATACAGTTATCCAACTGATACCGACAAGCTAATGTTGGCTAAACAAACTGGTCTATCTCGCAACCAGGTGAAGTTTCTTGTTATAAATCTTCTATTTTACGATAATTGTGATGAGAATCGAACTTTAGTCTTAAGTCTTTGTACATGTACTTCAACTGTCAGCTCTAGGTTGACCCTAATGACCCTAGTGGTTCATCTTATAAATCATTTGATACACTGGTTGACAGATGCCATAAATGTTTAATTGACTATACCTGTGCAACAGGTGTCTAATTGGTTTATTAATGCAAGAGTGAGGCTTTGGAAACCCATGGTGGAAGAAATACACACGCTAGAATCACAGCAAGGTCAAAAACGGCCACATAGGGAAGAACAAAGTAGGAAAAACTTGAATGATCATTTACCTTCAGACAACTCTCTTGTTACCGAGAATCCATCTGCATGCATGGAAAAGTTTCATGATGATGGCCCTTACAAACACCCTAGGAATGAACTTGCAAATATTCAAGTGAGGAATAATCAGGAGCAACTGAATCAGAGTAACACAAGCAATCAGCTAGTGGGTGTTGGAGTGAGCAATAATGGTGTGTCTCTCACACTTGGACTTCACCAAAATCATGGTATTGGGTTGTCTGAGCCATTCAGCATGAGTGCAGCTCAGCGATTTGGTGTTGCCCTTCAGCATGAGGGCTATGCTATAAGTGGTTTTGAATCACATAATCGACATTTTGCAGGACAACTGTTGCATGATTTTGTAGGCTGAAGATATCTTCAATCTACTAACCTTGTTGCTTGGACTTCATTTAATTTGGTATTATATTATACTAACCATATTTCTGTTGCTTTAATCAACCAACAGAAGTTAGGAAAAGGAAAGTGATTGAAATATTGGCCTTCAATGGTACTGCTACTAAGTTTGTGATGATTAACTGGTGTTATTATTAAGCCCTCAAGAAGTTCAAGACTGTAAAGTTATTGTAAATTCATTTTAAGGGGAAAAAATATTGTCATAGGTCTATCCAATTCACCCTTGTGTTGTTGGCCTTTGTCAGCAGCATAAAGCTAAATATTTTTACCCTTTTTGTAATGTTGATCAATCCAGCAAAACGGATTTCAATATGTGATAGTTGAATCTTGTGGACAAGGTTAAATATATATTTCCCTTTCTGGAATGCTCAAGGACTAGTGGTATCCAATATTTGCAGTAGTTTTCTTTTTCTATTTTAATGGAAGCGGAAGCATGCTGCTGATTTTCCCTGCGTGATTCTTGTGGACTATTGTTAGTTATAAAACGATGGCTAAATGACATGTATATTTATTTGATACCGTGCCTAAATTTTAAGGAACTAATTATATGTTTAATTTTTATAATCAAATATTTTTTTTTAACTAAAAGATTTCTTATGAATTTAATTATTCATTTTTATTCATTTTTGTTTTTTGTTTTGTCATGGTTTAGAATGTTAAATAAATTTAAACCATGTGGAAGATAAAATGTAATGAAAATTTATCGTTTTATAAAATTTGATATTGCGGTTTATGTTTCATTGAATTATGGTAATTAATATTAAATAGCTAAACAAAGTGAATTTTAATTACTTATATGAAGTAATTATAATTAAAATGTTGATAAAAAAAGGTATTTGATTTGATAGGTTAAAATTTGCTATAAAAACAATGCGTTAAAAAAAATGGCTCTGCCATGTGAATGGATTCCAAAGGTAAATCATTACTTCAGTAAGTAAATTCAGTCAAATTAATTTGGATGATATGGTTATCAACTTAATTATATTAATTAATCGTTTTAAATTTATCGCATTATATATCAAATTATTTAAGTTTGAACTTTGTTTTTAATATAAAAAAATATTTTTTAATCTCATGATTGATTGAAAGCAAAATTAAAGACAATCAAGATAAAGCTTTTAGTATCATTTGATTTTATGATGTTTTAGTATCATTTGATTTTAGGATTATTACTTTGGTTATTGAATTTGTTTAAAAATTTTAATTAGATTTTAAATTAAAAAAATTTAATTAAGTTTATTTTTTGTAATATATATAGACTGTGGCATTAGAAATTTATTTACTATATGTGAAAATTTCATATATTTATATTCCCATTTTAACGATTACATTAAGTTATTATTCCATAATATTATTCTACCGGTTAAAACTTTTTTATAATTAACCTTTTTAGTCAAAAGAATTCTAAAATAACGAGATAGTTAATTTTACTCATTAAAATTTTTTTATTAAACTTTTTATATGTGTTAGTTAATAGAGTTTCATAAGACATTTTATCATATGAGCTATATATTTAGTACTACCAAATGATTTAGATGAGTTATGAAGATCATCATTTATCTCTACTTTTTCTTTATTTGTTATAGGTAGATGTTGGCTTTCTCATTTTCTAAACTATTATTGTTTAGATTTTTCCAAGTGGTTATTAAGGTTTTCTTCTTCTTTGTAGTTGACAACCTTTTTCTCAATATGGTACATTTAACCTTTATATCTTTTGGTTTCTTACATTCAAAGCATAGGATCCCACTCTTTGATAGATAGACTTTTTGAACTTGTTTTTCTTCCTTCTTGGTTGGAAGCTTTTTATCTTTCGTTCTTTTTCAGCATCTTTTTGAATTTCTTGGGAATATGAGAGATCTCATCACTTATAGATTCTTCAAAATCCTATTTTGAAGTAGAAAATTCATAATGCACCTTGAGAGTCTTTCCCTTTTCCTTCTTTTGACTTGGTTCACCTATTTTAAAGACTACAAACTCAGTTTTTATTTAACCTCTTTTAAATATATGAATTTCGTGCACCCTTAAAGCTCTTAAAAGCTCATCAAGAGTGAGAGTTTTATAAGATCACGAGTTTCAGAGATAATTGTTATCTTAGGTTTCAAGAATTTAGGTTGATTATCTAAGATCTTCTAATTATTTTGGTCTATAATGAACTCAATGCTCAAGGACTTCATACCATTGAGAAGTGTTTGAAAGTTGACAAACATTTCATCAATATTTTTAGTTTCCTCATGATGAACAACTTCTAAATATTTTTAGTTTCCTCATGATGAACAACTTCTAGTGTTTCTAAAAGGTGGCAACATGTCTCAATTAATCATCTCCAGTCCTCTCATGAGTAACTTTTGTTAAAATACGCAAAATGTTGACATTAGAGACTATGGCTAAACATTGGCGAAACATCTTACTTAGGAAAAACATAATGCTTAGAATTAGATGTATGTTTGATTGGGCAAATGCTTGTGGGAGATTGTTAGAGTTAGCCCTAGTGGTCAATCTTTATTTGTATTGTGACTTTGATAAAGACATTTAAGTTATCATGTTAATTGTTGTTTGTATAAGTATAATAATGTTCTTAGAATAATATATTCATTCAAAGATATATCAGATGTGAATGATTGTGATATTTTTTGAACAAAAAATGTTATTATGAAATCATCAATAGGAAAATATTATTGTTAACTAGGACAACAAGAATACATTATAACTATGATGTGAATTGACTAATGACCACATCTCTCAAGTCATGGATATGAAATATCAAGTCAAATACACATGCATAAATATTAGGAGTGAATATTTATAATGGATGGACCTGTTACAAGAAAGCTTCATAATAAGTTATGCAAGTGTCATAAGGGTTTCTCATAATGACCATAGTAAAGTAGTCATTTGACTTGAAATCACTACAATTCCTATGTAGCAGTTGTAGGATTTGATGCTATCAAATGTTATCTATAATAGGATAATTATAAAGGTAATTAATTGGGTATGCAATGAATCATGTGGAGGTATGAGTGATGTAGAAATGAGTCTTCCTTCTTACATAACAAGATTTGTGTTTGTGGTTTCTCGATAGAGTGAGACCTGAAGTATGTGTGGTCACTTAGGAATAAGCCAATATGAGATATTGGACTTATTCGTGCTTGAATGTTTATTTGGGTATCAAGAAATGCATGATTGGACTTATCGAGAATGACATTCTTATGTCGCATGTTCAATAAAACGTGTAATAGCCTGAACACACTAAAATGAGAGAATCCATAAGTTTGTATAAGTGTGAGATTGTATAGTTGAGGAAGGTTCTAATCAGTGAAGGATTCTAACCAATGAAAAATTGCGTGAAGTGTCATTTTATGAAGTTTTAAGGAGTGAAACTGCTAAGACATCAAATCTAAGAGTTGTTACAAAAGGTATATAGATGAAGAGAAAAATTACCTATAGTGATTATGGTTGCGAAAGTTTGAAATTACATCATCAGATTTTTCTCATTAATTTGGTGGTAATGATGCATTGCTAGATGCTAATATTTATTTATATTATTTAATATTGTTATATTTAAATATTATTGTCAATTTAGTGAGAACTTATGAGATCACATACAAAATAAATGTTTAGAGCAAAGTTGTTAAATTAAATATGATTTACTTAAATGAATAGGATATGGGACTTGTATTATACAAACCTAACAAGAAGGTAAATTAGGTTAACAATAGTTTATTAATAGATAGGTTACCTATTCTTGAATGTGCATCCATCTAAGAGAAATAGAGAAAATCACTTAGAGTTTTGTGTCGTCTCACAAAACCTAATTGTGTTCACCCCATGATTGACATCAAAACCCTACTTCTGCGTTGCTTGCATGGATTAACTAGAAGTACCATATCCTTTGGTGTTGATGATTAGAAGGAAACAAGTTATTCATCCTTCAACCAAGGAAATGACCTTCTAAGAACGACATAAAGTGCATTTCAAAGGTAAAACTCCTAATCCTTAGTATGGTTTTTGCGTTTAATGTGATTTGTGGGAAAAAGATTATTAAAGAAATTGTTTTTGAAAAAATTTACCACGTGAAACCTCAAAAACTTTGATGACATCACACATTTCCTTTATAGTCTTGTGGCTTCAAAACTTGTTATACTTTGTACTTGATAAAGAGAAAACTATAATATATCTAGCTTTGGAATTAAGCTACAACATATTATAGTTTTCCTAAGTATATTAACTTTATGGTTTAAGAACATGTATAACCACATATGTCTTGATCTTTTATATCTTGTATAGAGTGGACTTAATGAACATTTTCATTTTGTCTTTCTAATAAGGATCATCACCATTAAAAAACAGGGGGTCAAGTAAGAAAAACACTTTTAGGCAAAACCTATCCATTTGGGCTATCTATCTTTGAATCTTTTCCTTTAACAGTTGTTAAGATGCTTAACTCCTTAGAGGTTGAGCTCTAATACCAAAATGTTAGGAAAGAATTACAATAGAAGGAGTTGAATAGTATCTTACACTTTTTCACCAACAAAAAAAAAAACTTCCCAATAGACGAAGGTAGTATATGTTAGTCATCTGATATCAAACAAATATAAGAAACTGAAGGAGTTTAAGAGAAGATTAAATCCTAGGTTTATATATTAGTTCATCTTTACCACTAAGACTATTGTCCAATCTTTATTAACAAATTAAGTTCCACTAACACAACTTTGTTTACAATGAGTATTATTTCTCAAGCTACTCTCTTGGCTCAACAAAGCAAACTCTAATATTTTTTTGATACAAAGTCTCTCTAAACTTCAACAATTCAAGTATTCTTTCACAACCTTTTTCTACCTTCCCAACAAATAAGAATGATAGAATGTACAAGAGAGTTAGGTTTATAAAAAAATATATATTAGAAAGTAGGTGCAAAAAAGATATTGAGTATGTAAAAGAATGAAAATCCATAACACATTATCTTAAAGAGTCCTTTGTTATATGTAGTTTCCTATGAGCAAGTGACTGTTGGGTTTTTTTAAAACCTTTTCATTCATCTACTATTGCTTCTGGTTCATCTTCATTTGAGTAAGAACATTTGAATTTATGTGTTAAAGTATTTGATGGCTTGCGTTAAATTGACCACCTTATCAAGTCATATCTAATATGGTAACAAACAGTGCTTATAGACAAATTTGTATAGAAGTAGGCTTTTTTTTTTTTTTTTTTTTTTTTAAAGTTGAGGCGGATTTTGTCTTATTATAAGGAAGCTCCCAATGAGAGAGAAGATCAAGTCTTTACTCAACTTTGATAATCCTAAAGTTGCTCATTTTTGTTCTATATGTAGAGAACACAAATCATAATAATACCGATTCATTTACGACAAATATGAGTATGATTTTTTGGATTTTACTTATAATAGATGATAACTTCAAATGGTAATTATTAGATGGTAAACAAATGAACTTATATACATATTCAAAAAACATTTGTTATTAATAAAAAAGAGGGGTACGATTCATCCTTTAAATTAACAATGTAATTCCAATCTTTGAACCTGAGACATCAGCTATAAACTTGAAACCTAGTTATCAATAAATATAGTTAATGTACAAATATTTGCACATTAGAATAAAAAAATAATAGATAACATTATTGTATTATCTTTCATGTATTTGATATAGAACAGTAAGATAAGAATGAATTGTGTTCAAAATTCAAATAAAAAATTATTGTTTTTTCTAAAATTACACAATTTTTTTAAAACGTAACTTTTAGTTTTTTATTTTTACAAATTGTAATTTTTTAACTAAATTATAGTAAATTATTTTTATTTAAGTAATTACTTTTCTTAAAATATCACTAAGAGTTATATATATATATATATATATATATATATATATATCTAAAATTATAACCATTACTCAGTTTTTTAGAAATATTTCAATAATTTGTTTTTTTTTAATTTAAATACATATATTTTGGTTTTCACTTTTCTTTAACCAATTTTACCCCTTGCTTGATGTTGTATTCACATTTTTATCTTTCTTAATTAATTTCTTTCATTCATTGCCAAATAATCTTCATGAAAATTTTGATTTACACTCATTATTGTGTATTTTTGAAAATTTATAAATCAACTAGTAACGATGACATAACTACAAATAGTTACTTTCATTACCTACAACTACAAGTAAGTACTTTTCGTCTTCTCGTCCTTTTTACAAATCGATTTATCATGATTTTTTTTTATGAATCACAACACACTACATTCTATTTCTTTTTATAACATCGTTACGTTACAAGGTTGCCATGGGTTCATCGCTAAATTCCAAGCCTAAGATCATTAAAGACACTTTTGGTTACATGTTGGAAAATGTTCCGCATTTAGCCCTTGACATTCTAGTATGCCTTAACCTTATGCTTTTTCTCTCTCTCTCGGTATGTCTTTTAATATTAAAATAATATCTTTTATTTGATAAATTAATATATCATTTTTGTGTTTCACAAGCATATTCTAATTTTTTTGTAGAAAAATCCAACTTACTCAATTGTCAAGTAAATTTACATCTATCAACATACATATATCTTATTTTTTCTTCTTATCATTTTGCCAAACCAGATCATTCATACATGTAGGTAGTGAAAGTAACTTTTTGTAATTATGTCATCGTGGCTAGTTGGTTTATAAATTTTTAAAGATATACAATGATGGATGTAAATCAAAATTTTCATGAAGGTTATTTGATTATTAATGAAAGAAAGTAATTAAGAAATATAAAGATGTGAATATGACATCAAACAAGGAATAAAATTGGATAAAGAAAACTGAAAACTAAAACACATATATCTCCTTTATTTATTGTTATATATAATATTTACCTAGACTAAAAGTAAGATAAAATTCCCCTAATTTATTAACACAATAAAATATGATAATTAATTTATTTTATTGTATTGTATTTGTATCTTAACCACGACAAATCTTGAAAATAGACATTGCAAGATAAAAAGAGAAGTGTAAGAAATATAGTAAAAAATCTAATCTAATTATAATGGCTACTTAAATTGTAACAAATTATTTCTACTACAGTACAGGCGAGAGCGGCACTGAACTAGTGGTAGCAAACACGGCACCGTCCAAACTTTGTAAAACCCTAATTCTAATTATCGTTCACACCTAAACCCTTTCACTTTTTCTCTTTTTGTTGTTTTCCTTCACTTCAAGGCTTCACCTTCTCAGGATCAAACCAAAGGACCTGTTGTGTTATTCTCCATCATCTTCACGCCCCTGTTCCTTGTCGAGTGAAGGCCTTCCCATCACCCATGTAACAACAACCCATCCTCTTCTGGGAACCCGCAGTTCGAGGTTTCCTAGGTTAATCCCTCTTCTGGCACTCCGAGGAAAAAAGAAGAACAAGGGTCTTTCATTTGTTTATTTTTTCATTTAAAAATTAGATTTTTGGAGGGTTGGGTATGGAAGCAGCGCGAGTGGGTGTGGCGGTTGAAGGTGGGCATGGAAACAACGTGAAAATGCTGCAGAAGAATCAGCAAACACAAATGGGAACGCTGTCTCAGCTTCTTGCTGGTGGATTAGCAGGTGCATTTGCCAAGACGTGCACTGCTCCACTTGCACGCCTCACCATCCTTTTTCAGGTTATTTGTTTATCTATATATTGCTGTTTAAAAAATGTTATAGTGAATGTGTTTGAATTTGGTGTTCCCTAGCTTGACTTGGATGTGAATTTTGACTTTTGAGGCTTTGGCTTAAATCGGGTATTGGGTTTTGGTTTCTGGTTTAGTTGGTTCACTTGGTTGGTTTTAGTGGGGGAGGCAGAACATGAAGCTTACATTCAATTCTAGTCTACCTTATCGTCTATGCTTATTTTTATAAACTTCTAAAAGATAGTAAAATGAATTAAACTTCTCCCACGAGTTAAAATCAGTTTATGCACTTTAACTTTTATAGAGATTCTCATTTAACTTCTCCAAATGCTGGTTTTAAGGGCAAAGTTTAATTCATTTACCTTTTTATCTTTTTACAAGTGTTAAAGTTTATTCGAACCGCACTTGATTGAAATTCTTTGTTCATAAAGGGTCTATGTTCTTACTGTTGTGTCATTTGAAGGCTGCAAGTGCCAGAGTCATGAATAGTATCTGTTCACTCCAGCGTATCACACTGTTCTTTTTAGATCAGGGAATAGCGCTTTAAGCTTTTGTTAGTTTTTATGTTGTATTTATGTCCAAAGCTTTTCAGTGTTAAGTTGGGAGAAATTGTTAGTTTAAGCTTTGAAGATTAGCATGCATTCTTCAGGGTTCATATGTATTCTTGTTGCCTTGTTTATTTAATCTTATTATTCAGGAATTCTTTCCCACCATCCATTTTATGTTCTGTTCATTTCTTGTCTCCATTTCATCTCTACATATTCAAAGTCAAATTTTGATAATTGCTAGACGGATGATTATTCTTCTGCTAGAAATCATGCATTTCTTGATTGTAAACTTTTTTGAAGTTTTTATCTTCAATGATATTTAGTAACGTCAGTATGTAAGTAATTAATTGATTTCATTGAAAACGTTTAAGTGTATATCCATCATTCTCCTTGTTAAACTCGCTCAGTTCTTTCAACTATTGTTTGTCTTACTCTTTTACACGCCTTGACTTTATCAGGTGCATGGCATGCATTTTGATGTGTCAGCATTGAGCAAGCCTAGCATTTGGGGTGAGGCTTCACGTATTGTCAATGAAGAAGGGTTCAGAGCATTTTGGAAAGGCAATTTGGTGACCATAGCTCATCGTCTCCCTTATTCTGCAGTCAACTTCTATGCTTATGAACGTTACAAGAATGTAACCTCTGATGCCCTTTACATAATATGTATGTGGTCCAGAAGTTGTTGAATGTGTTTCTAAAGTTTGAATCAATTTCATCGTTTCTTTATTGTGTTACAGCTATTACATTTGCTTCTGGGGGAGAATCTTAGAGGAAATACCAGTACAGATCTCCTTGTGCACTTTGTAGGTGGCGGTTTGTCCGGTGTAACAGCTGCTACTGCTACATATCCTTTGGATTTAGTGAGAACACGACTTGCAGCACAGGTAATTACCAATTTTTGTGAGTTGAGAATTTTTGAAACTCAGTTGTTTACATTAGTGGCTACATACACATCAGTTGTTTACATTATTTTAATTGACATTTACTGTTTCATTGAATTTGATCCAATTTGTAATGACTTTCTGTTTGTGGTTTTATTTTTACCGAGAGTTGAGACTAACATGCTTTGTTTCTCTGCAGAGAAGTTCCATATACTACAGGGGCATCTCACATGCTTTTAATACCATTTGTAGAGAAGAGGGGTTCTTGGGTCTCTACAAGGGACTTGGAGCTACATTGTTGGTATGCTCAAGATGTGTTTTCAATTCTTGTTTTTAGCTTCTTTATGTTGATGATCCTGCTATATTTTACAACTGACATAACTACTTGTGTGGTACAGGGTGTTGGGCCCAATATAGCTATAAGCTTTTCTGTCTATGAGGGCTTACGTTCTTTTTGGCAGTCCCGAAGGTGAATGAATATCTGTATTTGCATTGAACTGAGAGTACTTTACGGGGAATGTTACCTCCTCATGTGTGATGTGTATGCTTTGTAAATATTCAGTCTGTTTCTTTAAAATTTAGGCCGGATGATTCTACTGTCATGATCAGTCTTGCTTGTGGCAGCCTTTCAGGAGTTGCAGCATCAACAGGTTGGTGTTATTGATGGTGGCTATATCCATTATCATTTTTTTCAATTCTCAAATGTTTCTTTTAAATATAATTTTAGATAAAAGATTCCATATCCTGTTCTAGATATGATGCATGCTTTTTATTTGAACAAATAATGTTAATTAAGATATGCTTGAATAAATTTGTTCAGGCATTATTTGGTATGATTGTTTGTTTTACGTTTACGATTTTTGAAATTTTTTCTAAAACAAAAAATAATTTTCAGTTTTAAATTTTTGTAGTTTTCAGTTTTCAGATTTTAATACCAAGTCTTAAATCCAAATCATTCCTTCCTATTTCAAACTTGTTTTTTGATGGGGGTGATGGTAGCGGCACTGGCAGTGGTAGCAGCATGGTGGTGATTATTGCATTGGTAATGACAATGACAATAATAGTAATGATGACGGTTACGGTGCTAATTGTTGTGGTGGTTGTGGCAGTGGCTGGTGGAGGTTGCTATGGGACAATGATCATTGGCTTATGGATGTAGTGTGTAGTACCTTTAAAATGAATCAGTTTGGAAGTGTAGTTAACTTGTTTTCTTTGAAAGAATATGTAATTTCTTCAGTATCAATTTTCCCAGGAAGTTATATGGTAGAAGCTATTATTCTCTGATCAATAGCAGTTTCCTCATGTGGCACGAATTTGTGTTTAATTGTTGTCCCTTGCAACATGCAGCAACATTTCCTTTGGATCTTGTAAGGCGCAGGATGCAGTTAGAGGGCGCCGGCGGCCGTGCACGTGTCTATAATAGTAGTTTGTTTGGGACATTCAGGCACATAATTCAGAACGAAGGGGCACGAGGTTTGTATAGAGGCATTTTGCCCGAGTACTACAAGGTTGTTCCCAGCGTGGGCATTGTCTTTATGACATATGAAACATTGAAGATGCTTCTATCTCCAAGAGATTAGCATATATATGATGCTCATGACTTCTTCAGTTTCAATCCTTGGTAGGAAATTTTGTGGTGAATTTTATTGTCGTAGCCATGGGCACATTTTTGTTAATGTATAGGTAGTAGTTATAATTGAGTGAGTGACGTCAATTGTACGTAATTCGAATTTTAGGCTATAGTTATGGGTGGTTAGTGAAATAGCTTTGTTGTAGAAAGCTTGCCACGATTAGGACATTATTTTTCCCGAGACGAGACTTGGAAGTCTCTCTCTATCATTTAATTATCTTGGCCTATGTTGTGGCGGCATCTTTGTTTTGAGAGTAATGTGAGTTATATATTTTCATCATGGAAATGTTAGCAGTGCTCTTCACATGTATTCCAATACACCTTTTTATTAATTAAAATGCATGCAAGATCTACTAATTGGGATTTAGACTTTAGATCTATCAAATTTTTCATGAAGTAAACTTGCATTTATGTTTTCAGCCTACCATACAAATGAGTCAAAAGTAGCATGTTTAGGTCATTCATACATCGGACAACTGGATGGTTAATAGTACATCATCAGGACCTTAGCGTAACTGCCTTCTACGCCCGCAAGTGTGTATATATATATATATATATATATATATGGGAATGCCAATATATTTCTACCTATTTTTTAGTAGGAGTATGTTAGCAACTTACACCAAAATTTTAGGACAAAAAAATTATTTATTTCTTTTGATTTAGTTAATTTGTATAAATGATATTATAGTAATTTAATTTAATTTTAAGTAAAAGTATTTTTTTCTCTTTTATTAATTTTTTTTACTAAGTCATTTCTCTCCTATTAAATTCCTTTTCCAACCCATTTTTCTTTCCTATTAAATTCTTTCTCAAACTTATTTATCTATCTCTTATTAAATTCTTTCTTCAACTCATTTCTCTCTCATCTCTCATGATGCCTCCTCCCTCTCTCTCTGAATAAATAAAAATTAATTAATAGAAAAAAGAAATAACTTAGTAAATGAAGTTAATAAGAGAGAAAAAATATTTTATTTTTTTTAAATTAAATTAAATTATTATAATATCTTTTATACGAATTAACCAAATCAAAAGAAATGAGTGATATTTTTGTCCTAAAATTGTGGTGTAGGTTGCTAACATACTTCTACTAAAAAATAGGTGGGAGTATATTAGCATTCTCCATATATATATATATATATATATATATATATATATAGTTAATCACCTATACACTGCCAGTGTAAAGTTTTTTTACACTGGCA